CAATTCTGCCTCAGCCGGGTGTCGGGTCTTCGGATTCGAGTCAGGTCGCAACCGGGTTGAATTCGGATCAATGGAGCACTTTGATTCAATTGCTCAATTCGGCCAAAATCGGTTCTACCGACAAACTGTCTGGTACGTGTTGGTCTATTTTTTGGATGTATGATTCAGGTGCTTCTCGACATATGACAGGCAATTTGACATATTTTTCGGACGTTCGAGATATTATTGGTGTACCTGTTCAACTTCCCAATGGCCATCTGATGTTTGTATTGTACAGGACCGCAATTCGAGGATGCTGATTGGAGCGGGTGAGTAACGAGAGGGATTGTACTTCTTCCGAGCTGTGGAAACCGCCTCTCATATGGTGCCTAATGTTTTGTCTTCTGTCGATTTGTTGCATCAACGCTTAGGTCATCTTTTGTCCAAGGTTTTGCAGTTGCTTCCTCCCACCTGTTTTAGTTCTAAAAGTTCTCTTTCTAATATAGCCTTTGATGTCTGTTTTCGAGCCAAACAATCTAGGAAAGTTTTCCTATTAGTAATGCTCAAACTCTGGATGTTTTCGAGTTAATTCATTGTGATTTATGGGGCCCGTATCGGGTTCTCTTTTTCTGGTGCACGTTATTTTTTGATTTGGACACCAAGGAAATCTTTGTTTCTCACGATGTTGTGTTTTCTGAGTCTTAATTCCCGTACTCTTCCATGATTGAGACTTCTATTCTTCCATCTTCTTCTGTGCCTGAGTCTTCTTTTTCTGATCCTATTTTTGATGATGATAATGAGTCTGGACCTAGTCTGCCTGCTTCTTTTCCACAACCTTTCCCATCTTCTTCTTTTGTGCCTTTTTCTTCTGAAGTCACCTTAGACAGGGGGTACATTTTCGTCTGTTCAACAGGAAGAACTTCTGGACCGTGGGCATCGAGTCAAGTTCCGTTCGACTTGTCTCAAAGACTTCTCCGCACATACTACTTGCTCTCACAGTCCTCCTCTCGCCCCATCCTCTTCGTCAGTTTCCTCAGGTGTGTCGTATCCTATTCAGAAGTTTGTAACTTGTGATTCTTTTTCTCCGAATCGTCGCGTTTTCTTGGCCAGCATTACTGCAGATGTTGAACCTTGCACTTTTTTCTAGGCTATGAAGGATTCTCGTTGGCAGAATGCTATGCAACATTCAGGCTCTCGAAAAGAATGGTACTTGGACCTTGGAGTCTTTACCTCTTGGCAAACGGGCCATTGGCTGCAAGTGGGTGTACAAAATTAAGCATCACTCTGATGGGTCCATTGAAAGATACAAGGCTCGTCTTGTCATTCTTAGAAATAATCAGATTGAGGGTTTGGACTATAACAAGACCTTTGCTCTGGTTGCCAAAATGATAACTGTTTGGACCTTGCTCACTATTGCAGCTGTAAAAGGTTGGGAGCTCCATCAGATGAAGGTCCACAATGCTTTCCTTCATGGTGATCTTGATGAAGAGGTTTATATGCGCCTGCCTCCCGGTTTTTCTTCTGCTCATCCGGGTAAGGTCTGTCGACTTCGCCGTTCCTTTTATGGTTCACGTCAGGTGCCTCGTTGCTGGTTTTCTAAGTTGGTTGCTGCTTTGCGTCAGTATGGTTTTCAACAATTATCTTCTGACTACTCTCTCTTTACCTTGCGTTGACCCACTCATCAGCTCACTGTTCTTGTTTATGTGGATGATCTCATCATTTTGGTAATGATTCAATTGTCATTCAGTCTTTTAAGGCTTATCTGAGTCGTTGTTTTCATATGAAGGATCTTGGGGTCTTGAAATATTTCTTGGGAATTGAGGTTGCTCGCAACTCGACTAGTATTTTTCTTTGCCAGGCGCAAGTACACCTTGGATATTCTCTCCGAGGTGGGTTTGTTAGGGGCCAAAGCCACCTCTCCGCTCGAACAGAATCATCAGCTTCCGCTTGCCACAGCTGATCCCCATCCTGATCCTGAACGTTATTGGCGCTTGGTTGGTCGTCTTATTTATCTGGCTGTAACTCGCCTAGAATTATCTTATTTTGTTCATATGCTTGCTCAATTTATGCATAAAACCGATGCAGCTTACTGGGATGCCGCTCTTCGTGTTGTTCGCTACTTGAAGGCAGTCCAGGTCATGGCCTTCTTCTTCGAGCTGATACTGATCTGAGACTTACTGGTTGGTGTGATTCGAATTAGGTCAGTTGTTCTTTAACACGGCACTCTCTTTCTGAGTGGTTTGTTCAGTTAGGGTCTTCTCCCATTTCGTGGAAGACTAAGAAACAACAAACTGTTGCTCGATCCTTAGTTGAACCTGAATATCGACCCATGGATTCCATTGTTTCTATTGTTTTTGACAATTATCATGTTATTTTTCCTTTTTCTTTTCGTTATTAATCACTTTTAGCCAAAAGAAGGGGAAGAAAATATTTTTACCTCGTCTAATCCTTTTAAGTTATATTTTGTAGATTAATACAGACATAAAAACATATGATCTTAAAGTATAATCCGTAGTTTAACACGACAAGACATAATGAAAGTATGAATAGGTACTTTATTACTCTCTCCGGTCCTTAATATAATTACGCATTTTGATTTATCTGAAGTTTCAAATATTATGAATTTTTTTACTAGAAAAAATGTTTAAAATATATTTTCACATTTATTGTATTTCGTTTATTGTTAAGAAATAATTTTATAGTTTTTTTTGTCAACTTAAAATACAACTTGGTAAAATTTAGAACAAATCAAAATGACTTATATTAAATATTATATAAAATCACAGTCTACAATTAGGTTTTTCTACCGACTGATCCTTTTGAACTGTTAAAAACACTATTTATTCGTCTAACGTGGACTGTCTGGCTACCTATAGAATAATTTTGTGGTAAGAGCCATAATTATTACTAATACATGCAATAAGTTATTGCATGTATACGTAGTAGGGTTTACTGCACGCGTAACAACATTCTAGTTCAATCTATTTTTTTCTTCTTCTTTTGACACTATCACAACATTAATTCTAGCAATAATCATCACGCTAATTACTAGATTGCCTCAAAATACACTGTTAGATGTACTACTATTTTTTGGTTTGGGACGCGTCTTAGGATGGAGAGAATGCCACGTTCCATTTTCTTCCATCCCTCGTGTGGTTTTTCTTTGGTCGGAAAAGATTTATTTTCTCGTTTCAAATGCTAAAATTGGGAGGGCCCCAAAAGTCAAATCACATTCAACATTTTCTAACGAGTGAATGAATGAATATTACCCCTGTAAGTACCACTGCCGCCTTTTCTTGATGCTGACTGCACTTTCCTTTTCCTACTAATTTCTTTTTTTCATTTTACTATTTCGTACCCCCAAGATTAGCGATTTCATTTATTGCCAGGGCAACTTTGTGGCTGCCAGGCAATTTTCAGTCTTCAAAGACACATTTACCCCCTTTCCACTTTTGGACGCAGTCAAGAAAAAGCCACAATCACAATTAATGATCACTAATTAACGTATATTAATGTAAATACGATTAATGCTTTCATATCTGCAGTAAAATTCAAAGTGTTTCATAAAGAGCAAAGATAAACAAAAAGAATTAATGCATTCAAAGTTCTGAGAGAGAGAGAGAGAGAGAGAGAGGAAAATATACTAATAAAAAGAAGGATTCGCTTTATTTAATTTCACATACAGCTCACCCAGTTAATTAATTGACGATGATTGCGAAAGAAAAAAGGAAGGGGCGAAAAACGGCGGAGAGGTTTTACTGGTCTTTGTGATTGGTACTTGTTCTAACTAAGTTTGAATGTAATTATAGCAGAATGAATCATATGGGAATGGAGATCATAAAAGTAGCAGCTGCGATTAGGTAAAAAAAGGATCTAAAAAGGAGAAAAACAATTAAGCATGATTAGCTAATGAATGTATATTATGTATTTTGACCGTTTTGGAAAAATTATTGTTTCCCCGTTTCGAAAATAATTGTTCGGTTTGAATTTTTATTTTTAGTATTTCCCGCATTCCAAAATAAATGTCGTCTTACACTTTGCACATAGTTTAAAAAACTCTTAAATATGGTAATAAAATTACTTGAATAACCTCAACCAACCCCATTAAAAAAATGTCCACCAATAGTAATAATTCTATTGGGGTAATTTTAAAAATTTTGAACAAAAAGTGCATTGAAATATGAGAATGACACTTATTTTGAAAATTTTTCATTTTACTAAAACGATACTTATTTTAAAACGGAGGGAGTACATATTATGCCAAAGTTGAAGATCCAAACTAAACAATATCAAGATAGAAAAATTATTATTTTAAAACGGACAGACACAGTTTATTGAAAAACTGAAGTCAGCCTCAACAACGGTTTGATTCATCCTTAGAAAGGTAAGAGTGACTCATAATCAAAATTGTTGGAGCGAAAAGCCATATGATAATTAAGTATGTATTTTGTGAAGTGAATTTCGTTACTGATTTCTTAGTTTCTTTAGGAGTGCAAAGATCGGAAGGGCTACAAAGGCTTGAGACTCCATCTAAAAGGGCTGAATCATGGATTTATCATGATATATTGAGGGTAGTATACCCTTGAAATGTAATAGTTGATAATTAGGTTTTGAGTCTCTCTCTTTATTAAAAAAACAAAAAAAAAGCCATATGATAATTCCCAACATCTTATAACACGACGGGTAACAGAAAAGCAAAACAAAACATGAATCATGTAAGGACTAAAAAAGAAAATATAATTACTCAGGTAAATTAAAGGTGACATAGTCGATTTTTTATTATTTATTTTTTAAAAAGAAAAACCTATATATATCCTAACCAATCAAAAAGTAAAGAATCCATGCATGAAACATGTTAGGACTAGATTTTCCTCATAGAAAATCATTGCTCCGAGTAGAAGAAAGTAGCAAGAATAGTGAATGTGACATATTTAAGGTCTATAGACCAAATTATGCTATTGATCTTTCTTCTCGAGTCGAAAATACAATTATGCGATTAACAAAAAAGTTACTCCCTCCATCTTAAAATGATGCGACAGTATTAAAAAATTATAGAAAAATTACACTACAAATTGTAGTAAAACATAAAAGATCACCACAAAATTAGAAAAACTCCTAAAAGCACTTGCTCTATATTCACTACTCCACCAATGTTGTCCCCACAAATTAACGATATACCAAAATAGTAGTATGAGGAGAGGGACCTACAACTATTTGAGGTTTGAACTTTGGATTTACATATTATCGCACCGTCCTCCACCCTAATCAAGTACATATACTATCTAACTTTTCAACTAAAATCTTTGTCATTTATACTCTTTCCAAGTTCCTATATTCTCTTTTTAAATTATTCACAACTCGCTTCCATCCCAGTACCAAACCGTGCCTATATATATATTTGATGTTTTCAGCCAGCAGAACAATCTGAACCATCTCATCCTTTTATTACAACAATTTTTGGTGTCCCTCCAAGACTCCAAATTCCATACTTTTGTCACTATTCCACACACACACACACACACTCTGACATTATACACTCATACACAACATTTATTAGAAGAAGATTGATTTCTGGGTAGGCAAATGTTTAGTGTGAGGCTTGCTATTGGAATGGTAAAGCCATGCACCATTAATAATATTATGAAAGGCTCTATGCAACAATTACCTACAGCTTTGGAATCATGCCAAACCACCAAAGTGAATATGAAGGCTTCATTCAACGCACTTAAAAACACCTCCATGGAATGCTTCGATGGAATCCAATGTGGCAAACTTCGTGACAAGTGGCTGGAATGTCAAGGGATCAAGAATTGGGAAGGCTTACTTGATCCACTTGACGACGATCTCCGAAATGAGATCCTACGGTACGGCCAGTTCGTCGAGGTGGCCTACCGGTGTTTCGACTTTGACACGTCATCGCCAACGTACGCCACCTGTAATTACTCCAAGGATCAGATGATGGCCGAGTGCGGACTTGGCACAACCGGCTACCGAGTCAGCAGGAACCTACACGCCACGTGTTCGGTCCAGGTGCCACGCTGGGTTGGCGGTAAGGTGCCTAACTGGATATCGAAGAAGTCCAGCTGGGTCGGCTACGTGGCAGTTTGCGATGACAAGGAAGAGATCGCACGGCTCGGGCGCCGTGACGTGGTGATCGCCTACCGGGGAACCGCCACGTGTCTGGAATGGTTCGAGAATCTCCGAGCCACGCTGGCGTGCCTCCCCGATGACATGGCACCAGCCGAAGATTGTCACCCCATGGTACAAAGCGGATTCCTCAGCCTGTACACATCGTCCACGGAAACTCACCGGAGCTTGCAAGATTCCGTCAAGGAAGAAATCGAGAAGCTTCTCGAGAAATACTCCGACGAGCCTTTAAGCATAACAATCACCGGACACAGCTTAGGAGCCGCACTCGCCACCCTCACGGCTTACGACATAACAAACACGTTCAAACACGCGCCGCTAGTCACCGTCGTTTCCTTCGGCGGGCCGAGAGTCGGTGACCGGACATTCAGGCAACAGTTGGAGAAGAACGGCACCAAAGTACTCCGGATCGTTAACTCCGACGACGTGATCACCAAGGTTCCTGGATTTGTTATCGACTATAATAATAATAATAATAATAATAATAATAATAATATTGAGGTGGCGAGAAATGAAGAAGCTGATGACGTGGAAGTGGGTCCGGCCGGGGGATTTCCGAGCTGGATTCAGAAGAGAGTGGAAGACACGCAATGGGTTTATGCTGAAATTGGTAAGGAGTTAAGATTGAGTAGTAAAGATTGTCCGAATCTGGGGAAAGGAGATATTGTGACATGCCACGATTTGAAGACGTATTTGCATTTGGTTAACAATTTTGTGGGCTCAAATTGTCCGATTAGAGCTACTGCAAATCGGGTTCTGATGAACAGGAAGAATGTGGTTGAAGAAAAACAGCTCTTGTTTAGATGATGATGAAGAACCAGTAAATTAATTAAGTAACTTACTGATGATGATTAATCTAATTAGGGTGTAGAGTTTTAGGAAATGTACAGTAGAACTACATGCATGGTAGCTAACCATATATTGGATAGGAATATTAATAAGCCATGCACTATCAAAGAATTTTGAGAGGAGGTGTTTTATTTAGGTCATCTCCCCAAGTTTGTCCATGGAAGAGCTAATGAAAATTTTGACCTAATTTTGTGCAAGTTTCTGTGTACTGGAAGCTTAAATATGGTTCTATTCCTAAAGACGATCAAATTCATACGCAACAAATTAACTAATGGAATGATATTGTTGTCGATGTCTCCACTGTGAACACCTCGTTATATCATCATGGATTATCAAATTTTATTGGCGAAATGAAATCGATTGTAAGGTTACGTTTATAACACAATGACTTGTTCGTTTTATCCCTTTGGGAAAAAGAAAATTAAACAAAACAACAATTTCATTCTCTTGAAGTAATCTTGGAGTTGTTGCTCACAAGGAAAGAGAAGGAATGATAAAGTAAAAAATCTTAAACAAAATTAGTCGAATTTGAGTTCCAGTTTTATTGGTAAGTATTGTTTCAGTGTCGAAATAATTATTCAGTTTAGATTTTCATCTTAAAAGTAAACATGCAATTATTTTAGGACAAGGACAATATTAAAAATACTAAGACTGGAGGCAATCAATTTGTTGGATTCTTTTTTTTTTAAATCAAAAGGGGATCAATTTGTTGGATTCTAAATGACTTGCTAGTTGCAACCATAATAAAAATTATTAAGAGAGTGGATTCCAACTCTCAAATTTACTTTGGCTCTATCATTTTTTCTTTCGAACTGCCTACGTTTCTCTATTCCCCTGTGATGCCTTGAAGGAAAAAACCATAAACCGAAAGAAAAATAGAAAGTAAGAGTAAATCTTACTCCATCTGTAACAAAATTATTGTCCAGTTTGGATTTTATTTTTAGCACAAATTGTATTAAAAGTGAAATCTCAAACTGAACAATAATTTTAGCACAGAAAAAAGTAATTATTTAGGTGCATCCCATTCAGAGACTCGAAACACACAACCAATGATCTTAATTTTTTTAGCAGCAATTTACTCAGTACATTGAAACTTATAACGAAATTCTATATCGGTTGAATGCAGTCAGACAGTAAATGTAATACAATATCGCCGGAATTTGTCTCTCATAACATTTTAATTTAATAATGTATAGGCTATTTTCCTCCATTAATTTTATCGGAAATTAAAAAACGTAACGATAAGTACAATTTCTTATTTTATTCTTCGATTTATAATATGTACCACGCATTGTGTATTTTCTTCGTTGATTTTTGATTTCGTCTTAGAACGTACATACTGCCAAACCAAATCCTGAAGCCGCAAAATCAAGAAACCGAAAACCCTTCAAGTAATTTATAAATCAAAACGTGTTAGGCATGAAAACAACGAATTTCGAAAGCTAGTCAAGTTCTCAATGCTCAAAAGAACATTTTTTTCGTTTAATGTATAAATAGACACACATTTTGGGAAACCACAATTTTAATTACGTTAAGCAACCAATTTATAGACTTTAATGATGTGTCATCATCGCATGATTCTCATCACTATGGAACGTGAATTTATTACTGCTATAAGACGTACCATGACAGAAGTAGAATGACGAATGGTTGTTACCCAAAATGAGGCGAGCTTTGCAAATTAAGGAATGCATTATTTAAAACCTCTTTCAAAAAAGGTAGCTACTATAGCTAGAGGTGTCCGAAGTTGGCTGGAGGTGTCCAAAGTTTATCAACTTGAGAAATAGAAATTATTCAGTGCAGTTGCTCTATCACATAAGATTGTGCGGGCAGACATAATAATAGGAGTAAAGTAGTAATTTTGGAGGGAGAGAGATAATTTTTACGGCAATTATACCACCAGAATAAGGGGGTGATAGTACTTGTTACACTAAAAACCAGGATACAACAGTTGTACCTAATAATTTTTCTATCAACTTGGCATTCTTAATCTTAGATTATAATCTCAATTGTTCAACAACATATATGACATGTCAAGCGAGTAGTATTGTAGATTCATTAATTTTTTATTTGTTTCCAACATTAATGCAATTAGTTATTGATGATTAATATGATAACGATACATGAAATTTTTCACTCTAGATAATCAATATGAAAATTATCACGACCGAGTCACAATTAAATTGTCATATATCTTCTTAACAAGACTGGTACATATACTAAGGTTTCCGGCAAACCTTAAACTAATGTGAGACATAATGTGTACTCGTTAAGTTTCCTCTTAATTAATTTAGTGAAATAACGATGCATGAAAATGAGACTTTAACTTTTATGTTTCCACTATTTTTTTTAGGGCTTACGTACAAATTTTGCTCTGTAATTAGTTAGCTGTTGGGTTGCTCCGAAAGAAGGAAAAATGTGTCAAAAATTATAATGCCATTGGTCCACTACTATTCAAACTTAGTAAAACCATAATTACAACATAGACGTGTAATTTTTAAAAACTTGGACACCATACATATATTTTTCCGCAAACATATAAATGTCCAAATGAACATTTTGTTGGTATAAATAGTACGTAGCTCAGTGTACGAGTGACCGTCCATATATATGAAATGGCCTTTTTCACTTTGAGCATTCATGTCCTTAAAAAGGACCACAATTTGATATGGACAACCCTCGGAATTTCGACCGTTCTTGCCTTTTTCCCCTTTTTGATGAGGTTTTTACATTTTAATCATGGTCAAAATCAGACAAAAATCCGAGAAAGTCAGCGAGCTGACTGTTGACCATGGCCACAACGTGTACACGTTACAGTTTGTTAGCGAGAGGGGAGTACTTTTTTATGGCTAGAATGAGAAAAGTTAGGTCATCAATCTTCACACGAATCTCAAGTACAAACTTGATTCCAGTACTCATGTATCCACCGGCCTCACCCTCAGCTCAAATTCACACAACAAAACCTTCTATCTGGTACTCTTTTCGTTCCAAAATAAAAGTCCTTTTTATTTTTACAAAAATACTGTACATGATAAACTAACTAATTAAGCTTTTGGAGAATGATAAAGAAGCTGTTAAAAGTGTGGAGTGAATAATTTCATCTACTGAAATTTTTTCTTGTTACGTATATTTTCTTCCCATCAAATTTTATTTCTTGGTACACAAAAAATGAGGGGTCTGGACTTAGCATCTATACCATTCTCGTAGACTAATCACATCCGCCTAAGGTGGGTGCCTTTCATGCATGCATATTCTCCTTCTACATTTATTCTGGTTTGTCAACAAAAAGAAAAAGAAAATGACGCTTATAAGACGTTATTTACCATGTACTCCCTCTGTCCAAAAATTATTGTCCAGTTGAGATTTTACTTTTAGTACAATTTGAACTAAAAATGAAAATTCAAATTAGACAATAATTATAAGACTGAGGAGTAAAAAGTATTTACTTTGCGTTTATTTTTAATTTAGACCAATGCAACCATATTTGTACATCAAAGTCAACCATAAGCGTGGATCAAATAAACACAATTGAACAAATCGTCATTGCTGAGATTTTGTGTCTATGAAAGTCATTGAATTAAAGTCTAACCGTGGAATATGCGAAAAGAAGAAGCCACTGAAAAATGACTTGCAACTCTCAGTTTTATGGATCAATCTGTATCTTATTGGGCTTGGTGGTTCTTGAAAGTCATCAGTAGCTGGTCGAAGTTCAATGTTGTTGGGCCTTTGTCATGATATGCCCAAAACTTTTTGTGTCATATTATAGGCCTTAATTAATTAGTTAGTGTACTAATAATTATTTAGTTGAGATTTTTATTTTAGCTCAAATTGTACTAAAGGAGAAAGTTTAAATCGAAAAAATTATTTCGAGACAGAGGAAATATATCATATGATTCGAAAACCTCCACAGGTTCTTGATGATACCTCCTCCGGTCTCTATTATAAGGCATTTAATTTTATCTTAGGTTTGACCTAGGATGCATTTTTAATTTAGAAGAAAATCTTAAAAATATATTTTCACATTCGTCGTCTTCTCATAATTATTAGAAAATATTTTTAAAGTTTTTATTGCAATTAAAAAGACTTCCTAGGTGAAATATAGGGCAAACCTAAAACTTATCAAAATACCTTATAATAAGGACCCGAGAGAGTACAATATTGTCTCGATCTTAATTATATGAATTTAGTTTAAAATTGTGCGTAATTTATAACAAATTGTTGAACCATTTATCGGAAACTTGTTTTACTCCTTTTTCCGCAAATGATATGTTGCTTGTTTTTTGGCCTAATTAGTTGAGGAGCCATTTAATTTCCGACAGGTTTGACATTCTTGTCTTAGCCATTTCTTGTTCCACATCAAGAAATGAAAAGTTCAAACTTCAAAGTCTTAACGATTCGTCTTAAATGTTACTCCTGTTTCAATTCATTTTGAGGACCACAAATTAAAAGTAGATGCAATCATGCAACTATGTATTTTCAAACATTTGACTACTTCCAGCATGTAGACGGCTAGCTTAGATCACTTCTTTTATAGTTAAGGCAATATTAATAGCTTAGATCACTTCTTACTCTATCGTTACCAATGATAATATCAAAAGGGCTTTGGAGCACAAGAAGTCTAAATTGCGTACTTGGAGTCTTTATTTGTCAATTAATTCGAATTATCATGTCAATTTTGAATTATATATTCTATATAATATATAAAAATTTTTAAAGCAAAATGCAATAAAAACGTTAATCGTGTCAATTGTATCAAGTTGTTTCTGTAAATCGTATCTTCATATCGAAATTAACACTTCTAATCTTTCTGATATAGTTATCCCCTCTCCTAAGATCTCATCTGTCCAGCAAGAGTCGTGTCTCCAAAATGCGCATTAATGCAGTTTATATATTAAAAAAAAAATAAGAAGAAGAAGAAAGAAAGAAAATAAAACAAGGGGTTGTCCAAGTGATTGTGGGCATGGCATTAAAAACTTGAGATTCCAAGAGGTCTCAGGTTCAAACTCCGTCATGAGCACTTTAAGTACTGTCTATGCAGGCTTGCAATCAGGAGGCTAAAAGTAGTTACGGAGGTCAGCTTGCAGTCCAGGAGGGCGTGTAACAGAGGCGTGCATGCGTGGAGTCTCTCCTTAATTAGAAGTAGTATTCCCTTCCCTCAATAGAACCCACAAATGTAATAGC